TATTCCTGTGTGTGTGTGTGTGTGTGTGTGTGTGTGTGTGTGTGTGTGTATACAACATCTTTATACATTTATCTGTTGAGGGACACTTAGGTTGCTTCCCTGTCTTTGGTATTGTACATAGTGCTGCTGTGAATTTTGGGGTGCATATTTCTTTTCAAATTAGAGCTTTCCTCTTTCCTAGATATATGCCCAAGAGTGGGATTGCTGGATCATATTTTTAGTTTTTAAAGGAATCTCCATACTGTTTTCCATAGTGGCTACACCAATTTACATTCCCACCAACAGTGCAAGAGGGTTCCCTTTTCTCCACACCCCCTCCAGCATTTATTATTTGTGGACTTTTTGATGTTGTCCATTCTGACCAATATGAGGTAATACCTCATTGTAGTTTTGGTTTGCATTTCTCTAATAATTAGCAATATTGAGCATCTTTCATGTGCTCGTTGGCCATCTGAATGTCTTCTTTGGAGAAGTGTCTATTTAGGTCTTCTGCCCATTTTTGATTGGGTTTTTTTTTGGTTATTGAGTTGTATAAGCTGTTTGTATATTTTGGAAATTAAGCCCTTGTTTGTCGCATTGGTTTGCAAATATTTTCTCCCAGTCTGTAGATTGTCTTTTCATTTTGTTTGTGGTTTCCTTTGCTGTTCAAACTTGTGAGTATGATTAGGTCCTATTTGTTTACTTCTGCTTTTATTTCTACTGCCTTGGGAGACTGACCTAAGAAAACATTGCTATGATTTATAGACATATGTTTATGTTTTTATATCTACACAGAATTACACTGTACTTAATCTTCTCCAATGCTTTTTCTTACTTAAAAAGTATGTCATGAACACCTCTCTCTACCACTAGAAATACTATCATGATTTTTAAGACATTCATCACATCCACTGTGAGATGTACAGTAACTGATTTAACCTGTTCCCAGATTCTAAACTTTCTATCACAAATGCTTGCTTCATTTGAAATGGGACCAAATTTAAAAAAAATCTTGCCCAGCTTCTCCATTCTATTGAGAAAGAACATCCTGTGTATATTGGTATTTGAACTTAGACGGCCTCTTAACCTCAGCTATTCAGTCTGATGAGTGTTGACTGGGATCCTGACATGACACCCCCCATGGTGAACAAGGGAAGCACTGTTCACAATCTGTTCCAGGCAGAGGTTCACCATGAGATTAAAGCACAGGTTGAAACTGAAGGAAACCAGGCACTTCAGAGGTCTGAGGCTCCCTGTCAGTCTACTTTCTTTCCTTCCTCCTGCTTTCGACCTGCTCACCACCCCCGCCACCCGCCCCTCCATGGCTGGTGCTGAGAAAAGAAGAAAGAGAATAAGACAGCAACTACTCCACGGGGTGCCTGCCTGTCCCCAAATTTTTATTCCAACATTTCATTAAGAATGCATTTTCCTTTTGTATGAAGCTCGGGGCTGCTGGGCCAAGATCAAAAAGAAGGAAGAATATCCACTCTCATTTGTAACCCCAGAAAAATGGATGCAGTTTCATCAGAATGGGTGGCAGCCAGAGACTTTGCCCTGAGCCTGGAGAAGTGGCAACCCCTCTGGCACCTGCTGATGTGCTGCCAGGGGCAGCCTTGAGGCCCAGTGCTACTTTTCTCTAACATGATTCATCTCTACCATCATTTACCAGCATTTTCAAAAGTGAAAAATTAGTCTTTAACCAGTTTTCAGAGCTCATTTGTCTACATCAGTGCAACTCAGTGTGGCTCCATGGAGGGAGAGGAGAGGAGCAAATGAATTTCATTCAGTTCAGCTAGGAGGGTGACATCTGGATCAAAAGGAGTAAGTCACCCTTTGTCTAATGCAGTGTCAGAAAAAAAAAAACCTGAATGTGGAACTGAAGACACACTCAGTGGATGAACCAAAAGGAAACAGTCTTCCATGAACCCCATGGTCCAAAACTCAAGGACTATGTTAGCTTCTAACAAAAGCAAAGGCCATAAGATCAGCTTTCTTAGATATGTTTATCATTACTGTTATTATCATTATCATTATTACTCTACTTAATGATAAGAATAGTAGTAGTATAAAAATTGGTTGAGCACTTACAGTGTGCCAGGTACTGCACAAAGTGTGTGTGTTATCATCATCCCCACTTGACAGATGGGGAAACTGAGGCTAACAGAGGTGAATAATTAGTCAAAGTCACAGGCTTGGAATCAAGCGTGGGTCTGACTCTCCAAACTGTGCTCATAGCCCCTGTGCTTTCAGTAAGTTCCAAGGAAAACAAGTCTTTAATGGGGTGACTGCTTAGTAAGAAAGTGCCTGGTATGGTGTGGCAGAGTTTCTTCGTTCAGACAAAACATTCTTCAAAAGCAAACTCTTTAGTTATGTAGTGTGCAGATCTGGCTGGAGAGGAGATAGACCAATTTGAATAAGGAGCTGGGGCTTTCTGGAAAGGAAGAAACCAATTACCCAACTCTTGCTCTCCAAGGGGTAGATCAAAGTGGATCACAAGGCATCAGAGATTCAGGCTGATGACTGAGAATGGGTGAGGGTTAGAAGGAAATGGTTTTAACACAGCCTGACCCAGTGGTTGTGCTTTGGAGAGTGATGGCTGAGCATGTGACCCATCGTGGGGATCTAATGCGACCTGAGCAGATCATGGCAGAAAAGCAGTGTCCCTGAAACTCTGGGACTCTGCGGGGCCCCTCTTCAACAGTAACATTATGTGGCTGTGAGTGGCAGCAGCAGTGGGGTATTGATCAGAAGGGAATGAGAAGCTCCAGAGCTTCTAAACAATTGTGACTGGGGATTGGGAGGGCAAAACCTCAACAGAAAGATATTGGACTTCATAGTAGTGAAGTGCGGGGGGGGTGGTGAGGGGGCCTAGTGAAAGGTAAAGGCGATTCATCATGTTTACTCTTGAAACTGACAGAGCAGGTCAGACCAGTAATGATGAAGAAGGGACTGGGGATATTTGCAACCTTGGCTAAGTTTTAATAGTTCCGCTTTTAAACTCAGATAAACCAAGGTTAGGAAAGCCAATGCTGGACTGAATAGCCAGATATCATGACCTTTCACATGGCTCTTGAGGAACATCCCAGGGACCTCCACGGATAGGCTGCTGTGGAACTGGCCCCTCAAAACCATCTGTCAGCTGCACACGAAGGCGAAACAGGGCTCAAGGTTTGAAACCATAAATAACGCAACAGCCCTTATATTTACTTGCCGGCACCTCCACACTGCCCTGCTCTCCCCCAGCACACATTGCAAAACAAAAGGGAAAGGTCTCTGGACAGCCTGAGAAAAGCTGCACGTGAAATGTCCCCTTTCAAGCTGTCATTCTGCTCCTGCTTCAGCTGACCCAGAACATCTGTCTTTTCTCCCATTTAACACACGCAGTGAAGCTGGATGGGCCTTCTGAGCCAATATCCTACTGTTATACAACGTCCTGTCCCCTACAGCTGTGGCTGGGCCCAACAGCCAGCCTCTGAAGAGATTCAAAGTCCCCTCTTTGAACTGTCTGCTCATTGGTGAGGGTGTGCTGCCGGTCCTTCCAGACCCTTGCTTTAGGCCAATGCTCTCTGCTCTGTTTTCTTTCTTCTCTGTCAATTCTGCTGTTTCCAATCTGTGTAACTGCGGGAAGCTGTCTGCCCTTTCTGTCCCTCTGTTTTCTCACCTTCAAAATGGGAATAATAATAATCTATCTATAGTGAACAGTCACTGAGGGTTCCTTGCCCCCAAGCCCTCAGACCTCACCACTGTGATGCCCAACCGTGCACTTTCCACCTGCCTGAAGGCTTTCTCCAGTGGCCGAGCCCCCCACCCCCACCCCAAGCACACGGCATGCCAGAAATACTAGAGAGTTAAGGAGAGCAGCTCTCAACCAATGACTAGTGGGGGCTGGGGTGTAAATACGCTCTTGATTGGGATGTCTGTGAGGCAGGTGTCCTATACGGCCTATGGCCCATGGTAAAGGACATCCTGAGGTGAGTTCTGCACTGGCTCCCAGAGATCCCCAGCAGGACTAAGCCCCAGCTGCCCATTGGCTCACTTCTCCATCCCCCACCTGTGCTCCCTGGGGTCAGCCCCAGATGACCTTCTTGTACCCCTATCTTTGACTAAGAGAACAAACCTGACACAGTAGCATTAAACATGAATGGTCTCCTCCTTCAACAGGGCCCTCCATACTGCCCTGGCATCCACTTTCCTCTGCTCACTTTACTCTTCAAGTCTTCTATCTAATTCTTCCATGTCCCTCCAGTATGAACGGAGGACTTATCTCTCACCTCCCAGGACACATGGAAGCCAGCAGCTGGCAACTGCCTTCACTAGCCCATCCCTCATTTTTGAAGGGCATGAGAGAAATTCTTATAAATGAAGATTTCTGCCCTGTCTGGCCCCCAGCCTGTTTTCTTCCCACCCCTGGGGCAGATCCACAGAGTAAAGAGCCCCATACACATGTATGTTGACTGTAGAAAGTGGACTAGCTCAGACCCCACATCCATACTCTGTCTACTCTCCCTGGAAGCAGCTGCGCCTTTGCCACCTCTCAAACCAGTGATGAGGTCTGTCTTCGGAGGGAGACCCACACAGACCCTGGATTCTGGGGTTCCAGGCACCGTAGCATGTTCCAGAAGGGAAAGCATGGCTCTGGGTGGGCACATACATGTATCCCATGGAAAGATAAACCTGGAGCGCAGGTAGAGCTGGCTCCTTTGATTTATGGGGTCTCAGGCTGGTACTAGGGTCTGAGGATTGTTTCTGGGTCTGAGTGGTACCTGCCTTCCCCTGAGTTGGGAGGGCACATACCTCCCCCAATGCAGCAAACCTTCCTGCCTCTACACCCATCCTCTCTACCTTCCCTTCTGTGCGAAAGAGGACGCGTTCTCCCATCAGAGGCCAGTATCTCCTCCTGGGTTCCCAGTTCAGAATTTAGGATTAAGGAGAGATGGGAACGTAAGTGAAGAGAGCCCTGACCATGTAACCAGGTTTTGGTCCTGCCGTCCACTGGCCAAACCTATGTTTCCTCACTTGCAAAATGATGATGATGGTGCTTGTCCACCTTCCATAGTTGGCACAAGGGTTAAATGAGATAATTCAAGGAAAAGTGCTCACTCAACTGAATAGCAACTTACAAAGTTTAAGGAGATGGTATTTCTCCTAGTTGCAATCCTGATTTTATGTAGTTTATGGAAGAAGGCAGTGCCTGGAGCTTGGGAAACAGCTTCTCCAGACTTTAGCTAATGTTTTTGGACAACCAGACAACTTGTTTTCCTGTCACCATTGGACAGTTGCATCAGGTTTTATTTTTCTTTTTCTGTTTTATTCATGCTATTCATGGGGGGCTGAGATTCTTAGTAAAATATCTTATAAAAGAACCAAATTCCATAATCTAAAAAAGATTTTCCTTTAATCCTTTAGAAATTGGACTCAGGATGGTGGATCAAACTCACCCACAGAGCCAAGGCAATATTAGTTTCTTTTTTATCTTTTAAAAACTTCTATTTCAAATATAGCCTCGAACAGTCCCTAACAGCTAGAAGATGTAGAAGGGACTCTGAGGTCAAGAATAAATGCTAAATGAGACTCAGATAACATATTTGAATTACTTGGCCCCTATGGCCCTCCAGCTCAGAAGGGTTTTCACATTTTTAAAGAGTCATAAGAAGATTAAAACAAAGACCAAAGAAGGTATGTGACAGATAGTGGAAATGGCTCTCAAAGCCTAAAATACATGCAATTTGGCCCTCTACAGAGAAATACCAAAATAACTGAAGGACTCACTGAATCTCTTCACCTTTCATCTGACAGTGCCCCATGGGATCACTTCCCATCATCCTTACAGCCAAGGCTGAAGGAATACCTATGGTTCTCAGCCTACCAGGGATCATTCATTTGGGGATGGACATATCAAGGGCTGAGAGAGGCCTCTGGACTTAGCACAAGGTCCTGAGCAATTTTTCACGGGGAAGAGTCAGAGGGATCATGGCACACTTCTAGAACCAAAGAAGGTAGCACAGCACAGCTCAAGAAGACCTTGAGTCCTTGATTTTTATTCACTCCGGCTCGGCCAGAAGAGGAGCCCGGGTCTCCTGGTCTCCACTCATGTGCAGGGTTGTGTGGTCTGGGGGACCTGACAAGCTGCTAAATCTTTGGTAGCTGTCTGTAACTCTTGGCTACAAAGTCTAACTTTGGTTCTAACAGGCAAGAGTCAAAGCAAAACCACGTAGTCCTAGAGGAGGGTGTCACCACTATCAATTTGTCGCCTCCAGCATCACAAACCCAGCATGCCCAGTCCTTCTCACTTGGATCTTCCGCCACCTTCCCGAAGCTCCAGCTAGAGGCAGGGGGAGAATTTTCTTCTCTTCGTATTCATGCTTTAGAATCACTGCTGTCAGAGCCTGTTTCTTCCCTTCAGTGCCAACCCTTTCACACTTACCTTCAGTCCTGGAAGGAGGACCTCCTTCTGGTGAATCTGGATGACTGTGATAGTCACAAGTACCACAGTGCTCAAAAGCAAGACCACAAAGGTAATGATGGCTGGAGTTCGGGAGAAGCCCTTGAGGCCTAAAACGGGAAGACCCAGAAGACATATGAGGGGGAGCTGGGAAGAGGGCACTGGCCTTCTTTGTAGAATGTGGACTGGGAGCATAACCACATACATAAGTCACTTCTTCCAGCTTTAGTGAGACCCACACTTCTAGTGTGGAGCAGCAACTAGGCTCCAATACCCATTTACCTTTCCTCCTGCAGTGTGGCAGTGGTTTAGTTCTCTGGTATTTCCCAAAGTGTGTCATGCATATTACTGGTTGTCCCTGAGATGATTTCCATTAACATTTGTTTCAGTGTAGATTTGAAAACTATGGGTTTTCTATTAAAGCAGGTGATATAATATTTCATTTTAAAAATAATCTCAGATAAATAAAAAGAAATTAACATTGTATTTCAAATATAATCATTTATGATAAAGTTCAGTACATGGTGACATTGTCAGGCAATATGTGTTCTCAGTAAGAATTCAAACACAGTCATTTTTCCTGTGTCTATAGTGAAGGCATAGAGTCTCACCTACGTCTTCACAAACTAAGAGTAACTAGACCCCAGTCCATGTGTTCCCTCCCAAAGGGGTCATATAATCTCTGGTGTTTGTGTTTTAATCATAACGTGTAAACTATATCTACCTATTTAAAAGCAAAAGAAAAAATGTAGCAGATGAATAGTCTTCTACTAAGTATATAGCCCCTGAATAAAGATAATTATAATTATATGTATTATATTAATAATAGATAATGTATGTCTACTTACTAAATTTTAACTAATATTGCTTAACTACATGATTATGAGCAGATACTTACTTGGGTCTTAACAAACCAGTGGGCTAATGAAAATTTCATAAATAAAGTAGCAAATAGGTTCATAAAAAAAAAAAGAAAGAAACTTTCTGAAATGATTCCATTTATGTGAAGTTCTAAAACAGGCAGGTGATAGAAATCAGAACAGTGATTCCGCAGGGGTTTGGGGCTGGGCTCCCCTGGGAAGGAACACCTGGGCACTTTTCTGGGGTAATGGAAGTGCTCTTATATTTTAATAGGATTTGGGATATATGGGTGTGTGCATTTGTCAAAATTTATCAAACTTTCCACAGTCCATTGGGAAAAATTGAAAATCAAAGTAAACCATCTCCTTAGGCACAATTTCCCTTAAAATTTTTTAAAAAATAAATTGTCTCTATCCTAAAAACATATCCTTTGAAAGACAAGAATACCCAATTTAGGAACACAACTTAAGATCTACCCATTTCACTGTATATAAATTATATCTAATTTTTTAAAAAAGATTTTTAATTAAAATATTGACTAAGTAATAGTATTGTAGAACTATTGTAACATAAACTTAAATGGTGATTCCCAAATGGCTAAAATATGATAAACACTAGAGTAACAGGAAGATCATTAATTTGGAGAATCCAAATATGTATCTCATCAATTGGGTATTTAAGTGTAAATTAATGAAAGTGAAATAAAGTTTAAAAATCTCAGTTCTTTAGTTTCACTAGCTGCATTTCAAGTGTTCAGTAACCAGTAGTGGCTACCATATTGGACAGTGTAGCTACAGATCCTTCCCACCATCACAGAAAGTTCTATTGAACAGCAGTGGGGTAGCTCCTGTCCTATTCCAGAACACCCACTTCTAGGTCATCATAGCCTAAGCTCTATTCCTTCATTATTTCTAGGAGATATTTTCCTGGAAGAAAAAAAGAGCGTGTATATACTACCATGTAAAGTTAGATTCAGCCTCAATATCCAGTCACATCCCAATACTCATTGCATGGGGAGGCCAGTCATGCAGTTGGTCTCAATAGCTCAGAATGGCCAACTCTAACCACGCCATCTGATTCCCCTGCAGTTATAGATTCAGCCACAGACACTTCCTGATATCAAAGGTAGTCATTTAACACCTTAATTCTTCTGTCTTGTCACTGGGAGTGAACTGGAAGGGAATTTGTCAATATTTGTCAAAAATACAAATGTGTATACCATCTTACTCACAATATCACTTCTGGAAATTTGTTGCATAGAACTAGCCCCATGTGTTTAATGACATACACAAAGTTACTCATTGCAGAATTGTTCGTCATAGCAACTGGAGGGAGGCCAACCACTGTAAAGTTGACCTTCAGAGCCTCTGAAGTGGTCTAGATAATCTTTCTGTGATTCTCAATCAAAGGAAATGACCCAGACAGGAACTGGTTTATCTATAGAGACAAATTTTTGGATCAGCTTTTAAAGAATGCATATGCCAGTGTAAGTTACAGAGGTTTAAGGGATCCCCCCCCCGCCCCCAACCAACAAGACAAGGTAGAGATTTAATCTGCCCAGTTAAACTTGTCCTTTGGAAGGAATGTAACAAGTTAGTCTGCATGTGTGATGTTACAGTATATATGTGAAAATTTCAGAGTGTTCTGCATAGCCAATTTAGGGGCACAATTAAAGAACATCTGTCCATTGGGCAGGAGGAGGGTGATATGTAAGCAGTCTCCTGACCACAGCCACGGTGCTGGCCTCCTAAGTACTTACTCTGCGCTACAGCAATTTTCAGGTAAAAAGCTATGATTACCTTAAACAAACCCTTGCCCAAGCAGAAAAGCCTATCACAAAGCAAAATGGACTAGACCAGATCTAATTCATCTAGGGAATGCAGCCTAAAACTGTGCTGTCATTAGGCCTGGAGAAACACTGTAATTACCAGGTGCCCCTTCTGGGCTTCCACATGAGCAACTGCAAAACGTGCTCTAGAGGCAGGCAGGCAGGGCAAGCTTGGAAGCGTGTCTGAGTGTGTATGAGAATTCTACACATGTGCCTGCAGTATCAACTGTAACAACACTGACCTATGGTGGGGGGTGGTGTGTGTGCTGTAGGCGCCGTGCCAGCAACAACACTTGGATGGAAAGAGAGGCAAGATCCAAGTACTTTACAATTCATCACAAAATCAACAATATTCTAAAGCAGACCTAACACACAGCTGGGTAAGGGAAACCACAAGGGCCAAATTAATGGATTATGCAAACCGGAAAAACCATTTGAGCGAAACAAGCATGTTAGTCCTTGTTTTGTGTAGCGTTGATGAAAAGAATTACTTCTATCTGAGAAATGCTGGTGGTGAAAGCCAAGTGAGCAACTGAGCCTCACACGAAAGGGGTTAAACCGTCGTTAGCAGGGGGACACGGATGAAGAGCTGTGGGCTAAAGCTGGGGTTCTCGTGTGATGAGACAAAATCCCACTTGCTGCTGCTGAGCGATACTAACCTGCTTGCTCACAAGGTTGGCGGGTCAGTCCAGTGAACATCTTTCCTTCCAGCTGCAGGTAAGAGAGAGCACAGAATGACAGCGTGTCCCTGGCCCCTGACTTAAGAAGTTCCCAAAAACTTGCACTGTGTTAAACACAAGCCCACTTCACTTCTCCCAAAGGAAAACCTTCCCGGGGCCAGATGAACCTACAACTTCCGAGACAGACCCGAAGCTGGGCTTACATTGTAGGATCATCATCTACCACGCCCTCCAACCCCCGCCCCCCGACCAAGATGCAAGGAAAGGGAAAAGAGGGGGTTCGCTGAAATTTTAAACTCAAAAAAACTTCAAAAAAGAAATCAAGCTTTTCTTGTGGATTTTCTCACCTGTACAGACCTCTCTGGACAGAACAAATCTTCCACCGATTATTAATATCCACAGAGCAGAGACAGGGCTGTTCTCCAAAGGACACCAACAAGGGAAGTTTCTGTGTATAGTCGTGACCCGCGAGCCCGAGGTAACCCTTTCAAGACCCAGGGCGGGTGTATGTGGCTGCTGGCTGGCGACTATTGCAAAGGGATGTCGGGTCCCTGGGATCCAGCGCTCCAGAATCTGGGAGGCCCCACGCTGGACTGCGTCTCGGCACAGCCAAGGTAGCCAAGAGCCCAGCGCATCTCCAGACCCGAAGAAGCGCTCCGTAAAGACGCGCCCACGTCTCTGGGCACAGTAGGGACCACCTCCCCGCCGCCCAAGGATGTGGGGCTCGCGTCCTTCGGTCCCTCCCACTTGCCCCCTGAGGAATCCGATTCCGTTTCCTTCCTTCCCTGTTCTCAGCCTTATGAAGCTTCTCGCTCCTTCCGTGGCGGCTCGGGCGCAAGATCCCCTGTCCTCACCTGTGCGCTGACGACCAGATGAAGGCGACCGGCGCTGCGGCAGTGCCGGCCAGGCGGCCAGCGTGCAGCAGGGTCCTGCGGAGGCGGGGGGAGGCGGGGCAGGGCAGGGCGGGGCTTCCGCGACCGGGCCTGCCCCCGGTGCCTGTCCCTGCGGGGCACCTCTTCACCTTCCCACTTCTAGGTTCACCATCACCTCAACCCGAAGTCGGGGCTGGTGGGTGGGAGGCTCGGCGAGGTCTTGGCCCTGCACCCTGCGATCTCCCCCGGGCCTACCTGGAGAAGGGGACGGAGGGGTGTCAAGAGCCTTTTAACCTCTCTTAGTTTCCTCTACCGTCGCACCAAGCCTAAGTGGAGGGGAAGTGGGGCAGGGCAGAGACTAGGCTCTCAGTGGGTGCGCACAGGTCGGCCCTGTGCCCCATCTTTCCGTGGAGAGGAGGCCAGTAAACACCTGTAATACTGGAAGTGAGGCAAGTAAGCAGATTTGGTCCTGGGTCACTTGGACCGGGAGAGCAAAGTAATGCACAGACGTTCCCTCTCGTATATTTTAGCAGAACCACCTTGGCTGTGCCCAGCGACGTTCTCATTGGTTACTGAGCAATGCTCTCCCCTACCGTGTCTTATAAGGGTGTCATTAGGCCAAAATTCAGGACAAGCACTGCCTGGGAGAGGCCAAATAGGAAAGGTGATAAAAATGCAGCAATTCAAATGCCCCAGGAGTCTGTTTTTAATGCAGCAGCAGTGACCCCAAGGACTCTCAGAATGATCCCAGCAAGAGGCCTAAGCAGGCTTTGGTTAGACCACCCCTGTTGTGGCTCCTGGTGTCTGGAAGGAAGAGCTGAGGCCCAGCTCTGCCCTGGGGAGCTAGACCCTGTGTGCCACTAGTTTCCTGTCCTGTACAGGTGAGGCCAAACCCACTATGAGATAAGAGGGCCTTCAGAGAAGAAAGCCCTTGTTTTGAGACTTCTGAGCCCAGAGAGAAGGGCCCCAAGCTAGGTGTGTGTGCTTACACACGTGGTAAACAAGAACACCAGTCACTCTCTGACTTTGATTGACATGGGCCCTTGCAGAAGATTTGTACAGGATCTACAGTGAAGGTGTCAGACATTCAAGGAATATTTGCTGACTTGCAAGATTTGTTTTCATTAAAAGCTGTGGGCCAATGAAACACAAAGCATACAGCTGAAAGATGAGGGACCCTTTGCACCCAGGGGGCTGGAAACCCACAAAGAGCTGATGACACTGCACCTAGAACTGCGGTCAGTAACACTGGCTGAAAGGGAAGAACAGCTGACCTCAACATCTCACCGGTTTCCTGGTTGCTGGGGCCTTGAAATGCAGTTGGTGCTAGTGTCTAGAAGTAACAGAGATCGATCCCTGTCTCCAGCTTTTCTTTCTGCCTTCAGTCTACAGGCCACAGAAGTGTGAGCACTCACCTCCTTTGAGATCCTAAATCTACTTTTATTTTTCCAAACTTTCCTGAAACTCTCTGTTCTAGGCACTGTCTCAGACTTGCAGCTCCTCAACTAGTCTTATTCGTTCAAAGGCATTTCTCCATCAACCTTCCATGTGTAAGAATGCACACGCGCAACACGTATCATACACATATATATGCAAACTTCTATGGTTTTTTCCTGATTTTAAAATAATACAGATTTGCCTTACCAGACATCAAACCATATTGTAAAGCTACAGTAATTAAAACAGTTTAATTCCTGGTTTGGGTACAGGAATGTACAGAGAGATCTAAAGAACAAAAGAGGTAGTTCAATATCAGACTAATTAATGGGTATGGGACCTAGTATAACATCGAGAGATTGAAAAAGCGTGTTATCTAGTAAGTGGTGTTGAAACCTCTACTTTTTACATTTTGGGAAAAAATCCCAATCACTCATTCTACATAAAAAGAGATTTTAGATAGATTAAATGTTTGAATATTAAAAAGGACTCAATATCCTAAGAAAAGAGAGGAGAACATTTTTATAATCCTTGGGAAGGAACAGCCTCTTCTAGCATGAGATCAAAGCAGGGAGATAAAGCAAACAAATTTGCATCATAAACATGTAAAACAACTTTCAAAAAGACATTTTAAAAAGGATAAATTGTGGGGAAATATTTTAAAATGTGAATAGCAAAGAGTAAAACATCATGATATATAATGGTCACACAAATCTATAGAAATATCAAAAGTAGAAAAATGGACAAATGACAAGCACTGGCCAACTTACAAAAGAATAAATGGTCAATAAATATGGCAAAAAATAAGATTTTAAAAAAAGGGATCTGTTTAGCAAACTTAAAAAGATCTGTCAATGGCTATCATCGAAAAGAATATAAATAACAAATGTTGGCAAGAATGAGGAAAAAAGGGAAACCTCCTACACTGTTGGTGGGATGTAAATTGGTGTAGCCACTATAGAAAACAGTATGGAAGTTTCTCAAAAAACTAAAATTAGAACTACCACATGACCCAGCAATTCCACTCCTGTGTACATATCCAAAAAAAGAAAAGAAAAGAAGAAAATTAAGTAAAGAATAACAATAGCACCCACCGTACGTTCTATAGACAGCATTATTTACTAATTAGTCCAAGAATACGGAAGACAACCTAAACTAGTACCATCAA